CTATCTACCTCATCAAACATATAAACTCAATAAAAAAATGTTGCACACCCCGAAGATGACCAGGAAAATTTTAAAAGTAGTACATGTCAATGTTGTTACAGTTTCTCATCCATAGTACAATCTATAGACCTCAAACTTTGTAGTTATGTGGTACTATATATGTACAACAATCTACCAAAGTTTCAACGAATTTGCTTTTGTAGAATACGAGAACGGCGAATTTTAAAATCGTTTCAGAACTTCCGGAACACCCTTTATATCTTATTGTGTCGATTCTTTTTTGTTCTTACATTTAGCACTAAAATATCTATCTATACCTATTTTAATTCCTTAAAAATATTATTAAAACCATTTTTTACATCTTGTATTTTAAGCATTGTCATATATTTCTTTTATGATACTATATAGACAATAGTATTGTTCTTGACGTAAAAGAAGATAAGTTCTCTATTATAAACTAATCAACGTTGTATCTAGTTTTGAAGACTTAAAGACATCATAACAATTTAATGATATCGAAAATAATCCAAAAAACAGAAACCTTGATATTTTCTCATTAATGTTGATCACCATCAATAACAAAATGAATCCTTTAATCTATAAACCTTTATTGTTTTGCCTCGTTTGTGTCGAACTTTAAAGCATACTTAATTACGTAAAAAAAATGCATAGTAAATTGTGTGCTAGTTATCCGGAATATGTGAATTCCACATTTCAGCCCCAAAGGCGCTGCGCTAACAAGCTTTTCCCATTTGATTAAAATATCAATGGTCATTGATGTACTGGAAAACCAATTGATAATTTCACTCCATGAATTGATTGTTCTTAGCTTTTAAGATCTTATAAAATAACTATATCTTCTTTCAAAATTCATATTCTATTCAGGTCTTATCTGAAATGTTTAATTTTAATAGCCTAGTTTGGTTATTAACGCAAATAAAACAAATCAAAATAAATGAGTATATGAGATTAATATTTTTTTATTTGATTCTGATTTGAAATAAATCGATATAATATTATCTGAGATAAAATTCATTGTTGCTACTCCTTTTATTCTATCTCATAAATAATTTCATCGTAGAAAACTGATTTTGTCATTCATTATTATGAATAGACCAACTTAAACTGCATTGTTTTGTTTGAAGTAAATAAAGTTATCATTAGTTTCAGGAACAACGAATAAGAAAATTTATGAAAATTAACCGATGAATGCATGACAAATTGAATAGAATCATCCTTCAAAGGTACCTAAAACAAAAAACCAATTAATATGTTTTGAAAGATGACATGCGAAAATGAAGTAAAAGATAGATACCATGTGGATTCTTCTTATCAAACTAAAGGGAATATAATTCCGAAGTTTCTTCATTTTGTCATGTATTACCATGCAAATTCTGTGGTGAATTATCCAGTAGCATCATCTTTTGACAGTTTTTACGATAAGTTATTTTGTGTCAACCAACAATACGTTCCGAATCGTTCTGTACATGCACACATACAAACCATGAACAATGAACACAATGCCATTGATGGGTACGGCACTTTTGTTTCTTTGTTTTTTGTGCATGGATTCAATAAGTTTTGTCGACCGTCACAATTAGAAACGATGTCCGATTATGATGGGCGAACGCGAATATTTTTTTAGTTGCCTTCTCTTTTAGCTTCTATATTTTTTTAAAACTAAACGTAATTTTTCTTTCAGATTTTGATCTTCATCTTCAATCAATCAATCAGTAAGTCATTTTTTAAAAGTAAATCATAGCTTGGGACTGAAGGTCTTTCGTTTGTAAATAATCCGAATGTTCAAATGTGATCAATGTTCAGAACGAGAAATTCATTGCAATTAAAAGGGAGAATTCTTGTTTATTTGTATTTTTAAACTACCCATGTGTAAACCTAAATCTAGCTCACAAATAGTAAGTAACCTTTTAGCTAGGCGCTTATGCACTTCATCATAGCTTGTATACTGGCTTCTTTTGTCTTTCTCTATCTGTACCTTAATATCCTTGTATATACATACATATATATATATGATCGCTTTCTCTGTTGTAATGATACACTAAATCGCTTTAACATAGTTGGATCTTTATTTTTATTTATTAATCTTCAAAATTGAAATAGTTCTCCTGATTTTAGATAATGTCTGTTGATATAATGCCATAAGAGATAAATCAAACTAACAGCTTGAGATGAGTCGATTATTATGTCCTCACTATCAGAAAAGTGTTTAGTAAAAGTCCAAAAGCGGCACAAAGAATATTCTGAAAAGAATCATTGAAGATTAATCAAAACTATTTTCATGTCATTAACAGATGAAAATAAGTTTGAGAAACCTAGTTAGCCATAATCGATTTTTGAGAAATGACAACCCTATTTGTTCTCATCAGTGCCAAAGCGAGTCGTAACCGGCCATGAAGCTTCGAACAAGACTATGGCAAAATGTTAGGGTCGTTCAAATCTGCAGATGAATTTGGAGTGACAGAGTCTATGCAAGATTCTTCAGAAGTAGTTATCAATGTCTGAGAGATCTTTCTTATTATAGATCATCTTGAGAGATTTTGCTAGAAGCTATATATTCTCGATTGAATCTGCTACACATTAGCTGAAGAAATGATGTTCTTGAGATTAGAACAAAAGATGTAGAGAGGGTAAAAGACTTAGTTCAAAGGAGAAATATTTTGAAAAACAAAAGAAGTGATCATATAATTATGTGAATGTTTCTATGCATGTTTCTCACACAATTAATTTTTTGCATGACATATTTTTATTTGTGTATCTATTTACACATTTAATTTCCGTTGATTTATGGTGGTGATGTTGTTTCAAAACGTCTCGATCGTGTAAGTTTTTTTTTGGAATTGAAAGATGATCCTTGATGTTTCACTTTTAGATTGAAACAACAATGTGTGCCGTGCTTGAAAAGCTCGACATGATCGTTGAAATACTTCAACGATTGACACCACCAACTGCTCCTCAATCCCTGCTGTCGTCTAGTCCAGCACCACCAACTGCTCCTTTACCACTGATGTCATCTAGTCCAC